TTTTCAACCAAACTAGGATGAACTGCAGGCAGTGTTTGATACGAGTAGATGTGAGACAAGTAGGGAAACTCATTAAAATACTATATAAGTGTATTTGTTTTGTATTTGCTCTGCTTTGGCAAGTGATGCACTGAGCCAAATCAGCTCAGTGCATCAGTCATGTGAAGTAGTTGATATGAAATAAACTAGATGGTGGCTTTTTAAACTCTCGCCGGAGCAGTTGTGGGTCATTACAAACTCAAACTTTGGTCAAACCTCCAGAAATTTCTTTTCAATTAAAGAAATATCAGAATATTAAATTAAAAAATGGTTGGATCAAGCTGAGGAAAATGTGTAAATAAATGTTTTCTCTATTTTTTTTTTTCATCTTTGGGAAGAAAGACTGATTCACAAAAGGGGAAAACTGAATGTTACGGGGTTTAAAAGTCTGATCTGATATTTACTATAGACACTTACTGTTTGTGCTATGAAGCATAAGCCACCATGTTTGATGTGTGTTCATTTCAAACCTAAATCTTTCTCCCCCTTCCTCTCTGTCAAAGACCTCTGACGCCAGGGGAAACAAATAATGCATTATGCTCGTGGGCTGACCTCTTAAAATAGCTTCAGTTTAGCTCCGGTTAAGACCACTCACCTGATTCAAAGATCCTTAAACTCCTGCTTCAATGTCCACATTATGGTCAGTCAGCTGACAGCGTCACTTGTTTCATGTCGAGAACTCAGAAAAAAACACAAACGTTATCAGATGAACTGCAGAGGAAGTTTTTCAGTGGAGGAAAGTGAATGTTTTTGGACGGGAGTGTTTTTAATCACCCGGAGTGTTGTGCAATGTTGTGTAATCCGAATTTAATTCTGCATTTTATCACAGCAGCTGGAACCCCGTCCAAAAAGCAGAAGCAAGTCAGGCCAAGATTGAAAATGGCTTTATGTAGAGCTAAGTATCCCAAAGCAATCAGTTTCCCATTGTTTTTCATTATAAAGTCAGCTGTGAGCTCTTTGTTAGTGCCAGCTGACACAAGCATGACTGGCAGTTGGGATGTTGTTGTCGCCCGTCAATAGGCAGGTCAGTGACCTCTGGCCCTGAAGGCCATCCCTGGGTCCACTGTTCTTCTGAGGCCACTTCTAGGACATGCATTCCCACAGTATCTCTACACAAGTTATTTAGAGTCGAGGCGGCCTTGGTGGCCCTAATCAGTCCTCCTCAGTTCCTTAGTCGCGCCGTCACCAGCTCCTCTGAGTAAGAAATCCTTTTTTCTTACTCTAATCTGCAGATGTGAAAGGACAGAGCGACATGCTCTTCTTCAT